TGAAAGTTCACGACGAGGAGGGGGAAGGGGAAGTGGTGATGCTGAAGATGAAACACCATTTCCTTTCTTGGATGCCTCTTGTGCTTATCATTATAGGTTTGGGAAGCGACATTTTGTCATGCCCAAGTACTATCGAGATCCATGTAGTTTGGTGGAGGATCCATCAGAAAATCAAACAGGATATGGTTATGCAAAGGCTAGACTTCTTAAGTGGCCGCACTATTTATAGAGCGAGTACAAAACGAAAGATTATGTCGGGAAAGACGACTGAAGGTGCCAAAAGCACGTTCTGTTGAGATCCAAAAGGAAGATCCTGATAATGTTGATCGACTATGTCAAACACTACAACGTGAGATTTCTCAAATGGGTCGTAGATTGGCCCGCGATATGCAGCTACTCATACTTAAGAAGGATGCCCAGAAGAACAAAACAGAACCAAATGTTGCGGCTATCAAGGCTATCATGGAGGATCCTGAACTTGTCTCTGACGCTGAGCTTTCGGATTGTTCAGACTCTGAGCCACCTGCCGATTTAAGCGCGAATTAGGTGTTAATGTCTACACTTCGGCAATATAACAACTTGCATTAATATGTAATGTCTGTGTTAAAGTAAGTATAGCTGTTATGTTATGTTTATGTTTATGTTTATGTTTAAGTTTATGTATTGTGTCTGTCAAATGTTACGACTATTAATATGCAATATTAGGTCATGAATTAGGTATTTGTCTATCTAACTGTTATGTTTATGTATTGTGTGTTCAGTTAAGAGTGTCCAGGATGTATGTAATTAGTGTTCAGTTCATGGTATCCATAATGTATTTTTGTGGGAGAATTATGTCTGTACTAGCTACGTAACTGAAAACTATTACATTTGCAACTTCAGTTATGCTGTTTTCATACCCGTATGAGTATTTTGTAAAGTACTGACTTCGTATATTATGTATTAAGTATTATTACAAAAATGTTGAGAAAATTTATTTTAGGAGCTCTCGCTGTGGCCTTTGTCTTCTTGGCCTACTCCGCGGTGGTCTTCGCGTCTCACCCTTCGTCGTTGCTCGTCGAGTTGCACAGTGTGTGGGTGTGCTTCGAACTGTAGAGCATGCATATCACATTCTAACCTATAACAAAGACGATACAAAAAAATAAATTTTATAATTGAAAACGGGTACAAAACGATTTTACTAAACTGGTTTACTAAACTGATTTTCTGAATTACATTCTCACCTTCTAACCCAAAACAAAAGAATAAATATATATTTATGTTTAAATGAAAACGGATTTCGTAAAGCCAAAATAATTTTCTAAATAACACCTTCTAACCCAAAACAAAGACAAAAGAAAAAAAAATAACATGAAAACGACTTTAGTAAAGCGAAAAAAAAAATAATTAATTACACAAAACAATAAGCAAAAAAAATTTTACATGAAAACAACTTTAGTGAAGACGAAAAAAATTTTTTAATTACATTTTCTAAATCAAAACAAAGACAAAAGAAAAAATGAAAAATGTAACATGACAACGGCTTCAGTAAAGCCAAATAAATGAACATGATTGGCTTAATAATATCTACATGAATATGATTTTGAAATTATATATATGAAAAATAGTATGTAAAATTAATATATGAAAAGAGTTTTTTTTTCATATTATGTAAAATTTATGAATTACACATTCTAAACAAAAACAAAAGAAAAAAAAAACATATTTTAACATGATAATTGCTTTAGTAAAGCCAAGTACTAAAATATACAGTGTAAATATATTTTTCAAAATATGTTTTATGTTTTTTTCTTTTGTTTTATCTTGAAAATAGCGTTTTATTCGAACAAAGTTTATGTTAAAAACGCTGGGCAAAAAAAAAAATTTCTGCTAAAATCGCTAAAATCTGATTATAAATAGCGTTTTTTCTGCAAAATTTTTTTTGTTAAAATCGCTATTAGAAATAGCGTTTTTTTGGCAACAAAATTTGAACTGAAATCGCTATTATAAATAGCGTTTTTTCTGCAAAAAATTTTTTGTTAAAATCGCTATTATAAATAGCGTTTTTTTGGCAAAAATTTTTTTGTTAAAATCGCTATTAGCAATAGCGTTTTTTTGGCAACAAAATTTTGTGTGAAAAGCGCTGTTAAGAACAGCGTTTTTATTGGGAAAAAAAGTAACGCTATAAGCGCTATTCGTAACAGCGACTTATTAATCAAAGTCGCTATTTGTAATAGCGATTTTTCTGTTCATCTACTTTTGCGCTCCTAACAGTAAAAGCGCGAATAGTTATGGCGCTTTAGCTTAGTTTTGAAATTCCGTCAGAAGTTGGCCTAATTTTGGAAATACAATGTAAAAAAGGCTTATATTGGGAAAAGACCCCTTTTTTTTGTTATGATTTTTATAAATTGTTGCTAAAACTTATAATTAGTGACTTTTTTATGACAAATTTTTCCCATAGAACTTATTAGGCAATAAATCCACCTACCGAGACTTACAGTAAGTACCCCAACTTTTTTTGGCTAAAATTTGACCCCCAAAAATTCCACCAAAGACAAATAAACCAAACCTTGTCAATTTTTTTTTTTTAATATTTAAAATTTTGACTTGTGTTTCTGTTTTTGCAAACTTCTTTTAATATTTTCATTAATTTTACGGATGTCTAGTCTAAACTAAAAAGTAATATAGTCTTAACTCTAACACACTACTTTTGCGCTCCTAACAGTAAAAGCGCGAATAGTAATGGCGCTTTAACTTAGTTTTGGAATTCCGTCAGAAGTTGGCCTAGTTTTGGAAATACAATACAAAAATGGCTTATATTGGGAAAAGCCTCCAGAATTAGTGTGTAAAAATATAAAGATAGACAATATAAAATATATATTTAAGCGTAAAATAAATTATAATATTATTTTTCTATCTACATAATTAATATATTTTTCAGTAATGTTACATCTATTGAATTTGAACTCGTTTGAATGTTCTCAATTTGTTCATATCAATCGTCCGACAGGTTATTCGAACGGATGCGATTGATACACGGTTTGACAAAAGTAACAGTCATAGTTAATAAGGGTGATGCTAATCGTCTAACTGATCATCCGCCATATCATTGAGGCAGAGTCTGGATTTTCTCTATTTTGGTAGGCCAAATGTTTTTCTATATTTTTATGATAAAAAGAGAATTAAGTGTCACGTTATTAAACTTGCCCCCCTAATCCACCTTTGGGTGGGATTCTATGTCAAATTGACTAAAGATGCTTTTGATAAGGGATTTTAATTCGGTGGATATTTGATAAAATAATGACAGTGATCTAATATGGTGTTTCAAAGTAAGGATTGACATTTTTTTTTTTTTAACATTAAAAGTTAAAAAAGCGAGTAATAAAATGACATTAAATTAACATATATATCAGTGTTCTATCCATGTTATTCCCGAATTGTGTGAATAATTATTTTATGTAAATTTAGTTTTAATATATTATTTTTAGTGAAAAAGCTTATGGTGTGCGCTCTATGTCCACCCTACACAATTGGCGTAATTTTATTACAAAATTTTATAATATTAATCACAAAATGCTTAATCTCACAACAAATTAGCGTAACAAAATATTTAAATTTTTGTAGTTCATGTAACAAAATTTTATAGCATGATTATGACATTTTTTGTTATGTCAATTTGTGACGAGATTATATATTTTGTAATTGATATTATAAATTTCGTGATAAAGTTACATCAATTTAGAATAGGATCCATATGATATAGGGTTTCCCTTTTTTGGTAAGTTAATTAAAATTAAAGTTAAACTAAGTTTGAAAAATAAATTTTATTTTTATTGCAATAATGATCCACAATGGTTTTAAATTGATTATTTTTTATTCTTTATGGTGTTAAATTTATTTATTTTTGTTCTTTCGTTGTTAATGAAAAACCTTCTCATTCATGCCAAAATGAAATAACAAAAGAAGAGAAGTGAAGAATATCAAGAAATTGATGAGAGAATTATGGTGGCAAATGATATAAAAATGAAAAAATAAGTTACATTTTTGTTCTTTCACTTTTTCTTTCAATCAACAAATCCCCTCTCAAAAAACAAAAAAAAATTAAAAAAACAAAAAAAAAAAACTTAGAAGACAAATCTAGGGTCATGATGTGTCTTAATATACATTTCATATATCTTAAAATATTTTTATATGTTTTTTTTACATATTTTAATATATTTTTTACACAATTTTTAATAATTATAAGTTATAACAATCTTTATAAATTGTTTTAACGTTTTTCAAAAAAAAAGGGGAAGGTTGATTATCACACTCATTTCAAATCTTTCAAATAAATTTAAAAAATTTATAGACTTTGTAATGGGCAAGGCTCGTGCACCTTGCGTGCGCCCCATCCACTAGTACATTTAAAACACTTAAATAATGTTACGGAAAATATCTAAGGTTTTTATTATTATTATGTTCAACATTGATATAATTATTCTATTAATTTTTTAAAATATTACGTAGCATTAGTTGCAATAATGTTGTAACCGGAGTGGATGAACCCTCATAGATATCAAGTGCCCACATATAGAGTAAAAAGAGATTGAGTCCGAAGAGGAGGGGGTTTTCTTCGGGTCTCGAGAGATGGAATTACAAAATATTAGTAGAGTAATTCTTGTTCATCACAAAACAACAAAAACATCAAAAGAGAACTTCTTCTCCATTACATAATAACAAAACAAGATTACCACAAAACCAACTACCTATCATGTACTCGTCTCCTACGATTGTATGTTCGAAATGGAATAGAACTAGGTCCAGCCTCATCGATTTGTTGACCCTGAAGAACACGTGACATCCTTTCAATGGCCTCATATAACCTATCTAGCTCACGAACACTAGCATCATGGCCCGCCTCGATCATAGGATGCGCAATCCATAGTGCATGATCAATACGTTGCATTAAGAACAAATACAATTGTAATTAGCACATGTCATCCTAAAAAAAAAAATTAAACGATGTGTGCGCAATATTGTCATACCTCAGCGTCCTGCATATCAAATCTACTATCCTGTGCACGTGGGTCAAAACCAGACCGATGTGTGGGGTTCTGGATATATAACTGTTTGATGTTTTCATACCACTGTATGTAACCATCAACACAATTAGCCGGACATTTGACTAGGGTACTCCTCTTCCGAGCAGATAAAACATGATTATCCCAACTCTCCCATATCTGATCAAGATACTGATACATCACTTTATATCGGTCTACTGTGACACCTTTAACAGCACGAACAGGGTCGAGTGGCGCAAGTGGAATGGTCTGGACCCTACCAAACTGTCTTAGAACCCTTTCAGGATGATAGGGTTCAACTACATCCAAACACTTCAAACAGCCGCTGTAGAATGTGATCTCATGACATGGGTGATGTTGACAGCAATCTCGATATGGATCCCAAGTAACCTAAAAGAGAAACACAAATGAAATCTTGATGAGTGACATGGAATGAGAACACTTAATTGAACTAATATTAATTGTTATACCTCATCAAATGCCAATCTGTCAAGCTCCTCTCGTAACGCCTGTAGGTGTGATACTGTTGAACCAGCTTCCCGATGAGGAGTCCATCGATGCACGTGAGGCAATTGTATAGTATATTTCATGTTTTGGTGAGGTCTAAATGGTCGAAAATGCTCATAAATCCATGCCTCCAACAATGTCATGTAACCAACCATCTGTCGAACAGCTGATCTCGTGCCAAATCCCAACTATCTATATAAATATGCCAATGCAGCTACACCCCAAGCATATGTATGAATATCAGTCACATCCATCAACAACTGCAAGTACACAACAAGAACTCTCGTCCCACTCTTGTCGCTGAATAGTGTACATCCCAATAGAAATAACAAATACGCTATGGCGACACAAACTATGGACTCCTTGGTGTCTGAATCTTTACAACCACTGAATTTTCTCCGTAACCACTCCAGCTTTATTGATTGTCCTCTAGCAGATGATAGCTCCTCAATTGCTTCAGCATCATCAACTCCCAATGCAGCTACCACAAGTGCATGTGCCTGTTGATCTGTCAAAGTTGTAGCACTAACTGATCTGCCTGTGATAGGGATCCCCAAGATGGTACCCACATCATCCAATGTCATTGTCATCTCACCAACTTTCAAATGAAAAGTATTTATCTTTGGTTGCCATCTCTCAACAAATGCAGAAATGACAATCCTATTCACGAACCGATATGTGAAATGGACCAAAGAAGATAGGCCTGACTGCTGCACAATGTCTCTAAACCTTCTATTGTCGGTTCTTGACCACCACCGCCACTCAAGAATCTTGGACGCATGATTATAACACCTTAAGGAATTCCTCTCCTGCAAGGTAATTAATAATTAACATAAATAATGTGGTTCAATAAATAATTAAATGAATGAAGCCTTAACTGTAAAAAATATATACTACCTTTTGATCCCATATTGCTGCTGCAATATGTGCCTTGAAGCTCTTCAGTATTGATGGATCTGATGGCCCCCTAGGAAACGGACCAGTGAGTGCCTCCTCAACTTGATCAACATCAGCAGCAGCATCATCATCCCCTAAAGCATTATCAATCACATCCTCTTCCAAGATTTGAGGTGCTTCCTCCAACATAATATCATGACCCCGACCTCGACCTTGACCTCGGGCACAAATAGGATTTGTTAATGCATGATGTCGTCTCTCTGGGGCAGTGGGTGGAATATGCGAAGGGTCATCCATTTCTGAAAAATGAAACAGAAAACAATAAAGTTAATAGAAGTAACAATAAAGGTAGCAGAGGTAATGAACTTAAAGAGCTACAAATGAACAAAAAGAAACCAAGTTTAACATAGATGAAGAAATGGGAGATACATACATATGTAAAAATATATGAAAGGATTTTGGATATTGCAACACTTTATACAAACCAACAAAAATTCCTATTGTTTAAGCCAATCACCTATTGTTGGTATTCTTGTGAGTGTATATACTTTTTATCTTAATTCCTATTGTTTAAGAAATTTGTTTTTTTGGGTTGTGCAGAGATTGACTGATTTGAAGAAGGCATATGCAGATATAATACTGAATACAGCGAAGGAATCGATGGCTCGAATTTTGGTTTCGGAGTGAAAAGCTCTTAGGTTTCAGCACGAGCTCAATGTCACCAAAGAGCAGGCGCTTCAGATGCTACTTCGTCTCAAACTAATGGTGGATTCTAAGGTGAAACTGTCTTGTCTCAAATGGGTTTTTGATTTTTTTTTAATTTGGTTGATTAATGTGATTGGTGAGTGTATATGTTTTGTTTTTTGTGTTTTAATGTGGTTGTTGTTGTTGTTGTTGTTGTTTTTTTTTTTTGTAATCTAGGTCTGCTTTGAAGTGCTGTTTGATGATAATAAAAAGCTTGCTTTGATCTTGAATTGATTTGGTTGGGAGGTTTCAGAGTGTGGATTTTGTGCTAACCTTTTAAGAGTTCCCTTAATCTATTCATCATTTATTTGTTTTTTTTTTTGGGGACCATGTTCATTGTTTTTTACATGTTGAATTCTTGTGCTTTTTTCTGTAAAAGAGTTAAGAGACAATGCACTCGTGCCCTTTTCTCTCTCTCTCTCTCCTTTTTTTTTTGCAGTACATATTTTTAACAAGTTAGAATCACAATGATTCACAATTCTATTTCTTATATGTCCACTTTGGTATGTGTGATTGCTTTTTACTTTCATGTCAAATTTTATTTTGAAAAGGTGATGCAAATTCGTTGTTGTTGTTGCTATTGGTGTTGGTGTTGTTTTTGTTTGCTTGTTTTTTTGGCGGCAAATGTTACTACAATTTTTTTAACAAGTTAATTGAAATTTTTTGATTTCTTGTTTTTTTTTGGGTTCTTGAAGTTCGTGATTGGATATTCTATACATATTTGACAGAGAATATGGTTACTTTCTTTTTTTCGGTTGTCTATCCTTTTTAGGATCTAACGAGAAAATATCATTTATTTGGAAGTTTAATGACAGACATTCATTAAATTCATGTGCACGCTTTTCTCTATAAGCATTTACTTATGGATCTTTCTCTTTCAAACACTCGTGCGCAACGCGTGCTCACACGTGAGGGAGGATATATTTTCTCAATGGATCCCAAAAAGGACACATTTCAAAGAAATAATACAGAAAACGAAAATATATATATACACATGTTATAATGGCCAAAATGTAACAATAAGTAACGGTCAAGACAACTAGAAAAAAAGAAAATAACCGTAGTTCAAACTTGGATTTGCTGTCAGATACGTATAGAATTTTCACTTACATAATGAGGAAAACTTAGAAATAGAAAGTGATTCATTTCTATTGAACCCTAGTAAGGGAAGAGCACCCACTTCTCATACTATTGTAGTCTTAGTAGTAGGCCACACTACTCTAGAAATGGCGGAGTTTGTGCTTGCCATATTTACTACAGTTATGGTTATCTAGAGTCATGCCAATTCATGTCCATTATGTTTGAGTTACCATACTCTACTATTTGCAAAAAAAAAGTACTTCTCTTGGTTGGGGATACAAAAATAAAAGCAATATAAAACTTCTGAATTGGATGCAAACAATATCAGAAAAATGTACTTTTATGTCGAAGAAATTTATATGGTGACAGTTTTCAAAGTAAATTGCTATTCGGGTGAAAGCTGAAGTTGAAGGATGCAACATAATGAACTTCTATTTTACCTTTGATCAAATAATAATTATAGTCTAAGTCCATTCTTCAGGCTCAAGGTCCCTACTGAATTCAAGTATTAATCACTGGTCAAAGATAAATATTGTCAATGTTCTAAAGTAATTTCATCTGGAGAAAAGATGACCACAGTTTGGATTGTTAGTTATTTTAATTCTTTTCCTTTTTATATCTATTTGTTATTTTTTAGGTTGAAGGTGGGAAGAATCTGATGATACCTCTTATTAGTATTGTTGTGAGATTGTAACAATTACAATTCACATGATTAGCTCTGAACATTCAATAATAACCCAATTACAATCTCAATTACAATTCACATGGGAAGAATCTGATGATACAATCTCAATTACAATTCACATGGGAAGAATCTGATGATACGTTAAGGTCCCTACATTTAGTTTTTGTGTTCATCAACTTCTATAAACATATATTGGTTATATCAATTTATTAGAAACTTTTCCAATGTGGGGGAAATTAAGGGGGGGAAACATCTGTTTGACATTCAAGAATCGAACAAACTGATTTGGTTCGAAATTCAAGTGTCGAACAAGTTCGACACTCACAAGCCGGACAAACTGAGTTGGTTCGAAATTCAAGAGCCGAACGAGCCCGTATAACTTTTGTGGTTCGAAATTACAGTGTCGAACGGTTTGGAACTGATTCAATCATGGCAATGGTAAAAAATACATAAAACCCTAAAATCTAAGCGAAATGAGAACTCACCTACTGCTTTACTTGAGCACCAACGACGTTTTCACCACTGCTTAACTCTATGTTGAGCACCAACACAGTGTTCACCGGTTGAAACTGAGAATGGAGGGGGGAAAGATGGAAAAAGGTGGGTGTGTGGGGGTGTGTGAGTCAGTGAGGGTAAATATGGGAGTTTGTGTGTGTATTGTTGTGGATGGGTGTGTGAGTGAGGATAAATATGTAAATTTGTGGTGTGTCATGAGTAAAATATATATTTATCAAAATATTAGAGGTGTGCTTTTAGAAGTGGTTTGCCTTGAGATATGGTGTATAAATAGAGACACCCAAAATAGAGAGAGTAATGTGACAATTTATAGTGACTTTTTAGTTAAAACATATAATTATCAAACGGGTCCTTAAAATGTTGTGAAAACTATCTAAAAACTTGTTTTTTATTATTATTTTCATTAATATAATTATCTCTATCTCCATATATATGACTATAAAAGAGTGAAAGCTTTAAAAATGTTTTTTATTTTTATTTTTATTTTTATTTCTAAGTGTTAATAATGTTATATTACTTATAAATTGTAATTGAAAATACACGTCATTTGGAATGCATTTTAGATTTTTCAAAAAGTATATATAACTACAATCTCATCTTAATGTACAAAATCTACACTTCGGTAACCAAAGTGATACAACTATTCAAAATAACTATATATATGTTGATTCATGAAAATGTTTATATTATTTATTTACAAGTAAAATTGACGCTCTCATCCTACTCAAACACTCATGTAAATGTTGATTCAAAAATGTATTCACTATTTTCAAAAAGTGTCAATAAATTTTTTTTTAGGTAAATTGCAATAGTAGTTCCTATGCTTTGGTCCTTGTGCATTTTGGTTCCTATAATTTTTAATTTGCTTAATTTTGACCCTGCATTTATGATTTTGTTTCAAGTTGATCCAATTTATTACAACTCTTAACATTTAGAAAAATGTACATATAAGGCATGTGTCATATTTTTTAGAATAAAATTATAAATTTACTAAATTTAGTGAGTTAGTTATTCAACCAATTCAGTGGCTATTTTTCGTCAAAAGCACTAACGGCATTATCAATTAGACCAAATTGACACAAGATTTAAAATTAAGGGTCAAAATTGAACTAATTGAAAGTGAAGGGATCAAAATAACACAAGAAGTAAAATGTAGAAATCACCGGTATAATTTGCCCTTTTTTCTTCTCAATTTAAATAAGTCCTGACATTAATAAATTTTAAATTCAATCAAATTATTAGAACAAAATCTTTTAAATATATATATATATTAGTTGCAAAGTTATTGCTTGAAAACTCACAAGACATAAGAATTAATAACATTTTGCCAATATCTTAAATCACATAGGATTCTCACTTGTAAAAAAGTCAAGTATTTAAATGCAAAATTAACAGCGCCAGTGAGGATACTAATTTCAATAAATGTGGAATAACTCAATTAAGAGCAGTAATACCATATGCACAACAAAGAAAAGTATAAAGAAAAATCAATGTGTAACCCTACATTCATTCTAGTGTGACGCATTGGGTTACACATTAATTTTTGTACACTTTTCAATATGTGCATGTTGCGGGCTAATTGAATTTTCTTTTTCCCCCAGATTAAAGCCATGGTGAATTAATATCTTCAAGCTCTGGTCGTTTTTAGATTTATAACTTACTTTTTGGCTATTTGAAAAGGACAGACGGTGCATTTGCAACGAAAGATTGAAGAAAAACACTGGTCCTTTGATCAGTTTGATTGTTCAACACTAGTTTGGTGAAGAAAAACGCTGGTCCCTACAGGATTGCAAACAAAACCTTTTGGTTCTTTTCCTTTCGCGTCAATTGGAAAAAGGGCAGTTTTTCTTCTTTAGCACCCTAGTCCCTTCGTGATCAAAGCTTTTAATCTACAACCAAAAATTATATTACAATACATATTTTGAAAATAAACATATCAAAAAAAAATTATACTAAAAAGCAAAAAAATAAATAAATAAAATAAATAAAGCATTGATACATGTTGATGAGATATATATGATGCATAAGTGTGAGCAGTCTGGCTTCATTTAGAAAAGTTATTTAAAAAATAAATTTTATTTTTATTGCAATAATGATCCACAATGGTTTTAAATTGGTTATTTTTTATTCTTTACGGTGTTAAATTTATTTATTTTTGTTCTTTCGTTGTTAATGAAAAACCTTCTCATTCATGCCAAAATGAAATAACAAAAGAAGAGAAGTGAAGAAAATCAAGAAATTGATGAGAGATTTATGATGGCAAATGATATAA